ATAATATATATATATATATATATATATATATATATATATAGAAAATATACTTGAAAAAAATTATTTTGAGTTAATATTTTGCAAAATTATTGCATGTAAATTAAAGAATATATTAAAAATTATATTTATATAAATTAATATTTTAATTTTTATTATAGCATTTCTTGAATGCACTATCTCTCAAGATAATTTGTCTAATGCAGAAGAAGCATTACAAAAAGTTTCTGGTATTATTGATTTGAACAATTTAAATGTATCTGGAAATCCTGCTTTGGATAATGTTAATGCATCTGTGATAAAACATGCTCTGGAAGAAAGTCAAAATGTTTTCAAACAAAAATGTGATAAAAATGGTGGAGAGGGTACATTTGAAAATGCTATGAATGCAATGAATGACTTAGAACAGTGCCTTAAATCATTTGTTAACTTCACAAAGTTGGAAAAAGAAATGGAAAGACATAAACCCACTGGAGATTTGGATACAGTGTTTAAAACTTACTGCCGTAAAACTCCCACTCTTAAGAAATGTGTTAGCAATTTTACTACAGCAATAGAACCATGCTTGGAACCACAAGAACGAGAAAATAAGAAAATCATTCAAAATATTACAGATTCTCTCTTAACTTTTGTCTGTTATAAAGAGGGAGACCGTATTGCTCGTATGCATTTATTTTTTTAATTCAAGATTATTTAATAGAATAAGATAAAAACAATAATTTGAAATATTGCTAAAAGATACTTTAATTGTTTATAGTTTTCATTTCTGCTAATGGACCAGAATGTTTGCAATCAAAACAACAGGAAATTCAACAATGTATCAACATTACTTTAGGAAATTATATTCCCCAAACAGATCTAAACAATGGAGCAGGATTAAATTCTCTTCCACTTCTTGTTTTTGGAACTAAAGAATGCACGTAAGAATCAATATTTATATAATAAATTTTATATAAATAAAATATATATATTTTTTAATATATATTTTTAGAGATATTTCTAAAGTTCAGAATTGTATTGTAAAAGAATTGGAGAAATGTAAGGATCCAGTACCAGCAAATATTGTGGATTCTATATTCAATTATATCATAAAAGTGACACCATGCCAAAAAGTAATAAATCTTCAAAATACTGCTTCTAACTCAACAGTTAACTTATTATGCATGGGCCTAATATTTTTGTTATTAATACTTACATAAAATTAATTCTAATAGAAATTATTTACAAAGAAATTCAAAATTAAAAGACAAAAATTCTTGTTTACAAATAAATTTCATTATTCTAGATTACTTTCAAATTTCATTGAAACATATGTGATATTTTTGAAAGTAAGAAAATATTTAAATGTATAAGTCTGGTTTTTAAAACATTTTTCACTATATTGATTCAAATTATAAAAAAAACGAAATTTGTACTGTTTTAATAATTCTGGTGCTTCAGAATAGACTGACATATTTGTAAATGTCCATCTGAATATAATGCTAAATATAAATTGTAATTACAAAACCTAGACTTTTCTTCACTTTTGCAACACTTGGAATATGTTCAATTTTATACTATAGTGATGTAATTAAATAAATTCATACTTGTAATATAAGTACCATGAATTATATACAATAATAAGACATGAAATTGTCTTAAGACATCATTTGTATAGATTAATATAAATATGTTATAATAAAAATATATTGTATTTTTTTCATGATACTTAATATTATACAATTTAATGTTATTATTATAATGAAATTATTATTGTGAAATGTTTTTTATATTCAAAAATACAAAATAATACATAATTTTCCTTTTATAATACAAATTATCTTTGTAACAGTATAAATTTATGTATTTAATATATTAATAATCATAGCTCTATAACTAGTAATATATTGCAATGATGCCGTAACACTTTTCGAAAACAAAATATTTTTATTTGTACTTACATTTGTGATTCTATTCAAAATTTTATATAAATATTCTTTAAAAAATATTATATATCTTCACATCACGCGCGCGAACGAACAAAAGAAATAAGATTATTTTCCGTTGGAGCTGATAGAATGTAATAATTGATATGCATCATTAGTTACTTCTCATGAATCCTTAGAGCTTCTATTCTATTGGTGAATGGATGATATTCATAGAAATATATCGCGCATGCGTCGTTAATGTTTCGCATACTTTCGCTTGTCTTCGGGTAGGTTCGCAACTCGCAAAAGCAGTGCACTTGAGAAAGCCCATCGCAGGCTGTCTCGACGTGTATGTTTTGAACAATTCGCAACATGTTAATGAGTTTTTATCAGATTCTAATTAAAAATTCATGCAGTGTATTCAGTATACGAAAAAAAATTAATAGTGCAAGACATTTACCCTCTTGATCGAGTATTTTTATTAGTATCAATTGTGCAATAAGGAAGGTGAAGAACGATGCCAGGCAAAGGAGGCAGAAGACGAAAATGCGGTAGAAAAATTTTATTTTTTGATCCTATTTGTAATATTTGTTTTTTTATTAAAAATGATTATTTAAAAAAATCTTCAAAATCGTGTCGATAAAAAGTCTTGATCAAATATGCGGTAATCGTTCTTTATTAAATTATTTGCATTCTTTTGGAATGACTCATCATTTAAATATTATTTATTTTATCTTACATCACATATTAGATTGTCAATTATTTTAATTTTTTTAATGAAATTATATATAAAATCATTGACTAATTTTCGAATAAAAAACCATATTGATTTATGTAATTTTTAACGATATGTTCGAATTGAAGCAACATCGTGTCACTAGTAGCTATCCCCATGTGACTTTCATGCTTTTCATACGAGTTTGGGTTAGGTACGAGATAGAATAAAGAATTTTATGTTCGAATGATTGAAACAAATCGTTAATTGAAATCATATTTTAAAATAGAAGCAATTTTTTTTGTAGAAAATATTATCAATCATTGGAAAAGATATTTATCGCTTGCTTTGTATCTTAAGTGAGCGGTAAAGGGTTAGATAGATGAATCATGCTTTTTTTGCATAATTTGTATTAAATTTAGGCCATTTTATATAATATTTAACATTTATTATTTATTATGTTAAATGTATTATATATTTATATAAAATATGTATCATTTTTATGCAATTATCAATGCATGTAATATTGATATTTGAAATTCTTTTAATAAATACTCATATATATTTTTGCAATTTGTTACAATAATTATCTTGTTTAATAATTAAAAATTATAAAACTGATTTATATTTTTGTATAGATTTCTTAAAACTGATTAACTATTTATGGATAATAATTTTATCAGATAATAAGAATAACAGCTGTTTAATATTTTTATTATATTATATTACATATTAGATTTATTTTTTAAATGATATTTACTTTTAATAGTTGTTATCTTATTATCTATGTAAATTAAGTATAAAAATTGATTATTCACATTTATGATTGATAGTTATTTAAATTTTTTTCAATATAAATAATGATGTATTTTAAATTATAATAAAGAAATTTTTTATTTGTCAAATATTACATGTAAACATAATTTATTTATAAAACACAGTCATAAAAAAATTATCTTTCTAGGACATGGTGGAAAAAGAGCTGAATTAACATCTGATGAAGATTCTATTAATAATGATGCATGCAGCGTATCTAGTAGTCAATCTGATAATCGCAGCATGTTAGATGATGTGAATGATAATGAGGTAGATGAATTCGCGCAGCAAGAAGCATTTGAAGAAAAGCTAAAGGAAGCAATTGATGGTTTATCACAAAAGAGTGCAAAAGGCAGAACAATTGTTTCAATGGAATAGAAAGAATCTTTGCCATCAAATATATTCCAGATTTTGTAGAAGATAGAAAAATGACTATCACAGATTCAGTGGAGAGAGGCTTAAGAAAAGGACGTAGTGAAGAACAATCTACAGCAGCTAGATTAAGTAGTTTGCTTTGTGTTCAATTGGGAGCTTTTGAAAGTGCAGAAATAGTTTGTCGAGATTTGAAAAGTACTTTAACTTTTATTGCCAGCGATACCACAGCTTCTACTCAAGCACGTTCAGAGGTAAAATAAAAAAAGTGATAATCCAATTTATTATAAATAATAAATTATACATTTACAGTGCTGTTGGGCTCTAAGCATGAATCAATTCTTATCAGGCAATGATGCAACTGCTACCATTGAAATTGTACAATTATTATCTGGTATTTTCTCTGGTTCCTATTTAAAAGGAAATGGTGCTATAGCAAATATTTCTACAGAAATTGCTGCGTTACATGCTGCGGCTATTTCATCTTGGACACTTCTTTTAACAGTAATGGCTCCAGCGGATATTTACAGTTTGCTTGCGAGTGATAGAACTAGTAGTTATATGCCGTAAGTATTTTTAGTGAAAAGATTCTATGCATATTAGAATTATAAAAATAATTTTTATTTTAGGTCCTTGAATAGATTGCGCGAATTATTAGAATCACCACATTTGGATATAAGATTGTCAGCTGGTGAAGCTCTAGCTGTAATATTCGAATTGGGTCGCGATTTTTCATGTGATTATGAACAGGATTGGTCTTTGGATCTAATCGAAGTATTAAAAGAGCTAGCTACAGATTCAAATAAGTACAGAGCAAAAAAAGACCGTAAACAACAGAGAGCTAATTTCAGAGATATACTTCGCTATATAGAGGTGAATTTTATATTAAGAATATTAAAACATTAAATATATATTAATAATGAATGTTATTTTTATTAGGAGGATATTCTACCAGAAATGCATGTAAAATTTGGCCAAGAAATTCTATATTTAGAAGGATGGTGCGCACGAACTCAGTATAATGCGTGTTGTAGATTACTTGGTCCGGGAATAAATATTCATCTTGCGGAAAATCAACTTCTGCGCGAAATTTTTCACCTTGGTAACAAAGTTGTGCCGATACAATTAAATCAAAAGACAAGTAAATTAGAAAGGGTAAATTTTTTATATTGAATAGTCTTGATTATAATATTAATTTCAAGTTAATTAATTTTATGAATTTTAATTTATTCCATTTAGACATTAATGAATGCAGCTGCATTCAAAGCACGCACTATTCAGCGTAATAAAAACAGAGACAAACGATCAGCTGCCTTGGCACCGTGATTCTTCAGCTTTCTTTTTTTATATATTAAATAATTTCTTTTAAAGTAAGAAAAACTTGATTAAATTTTTTATTTGTTTTAACCGTTCTTATAATAACAAAAAAATATATTGTATATTATTGTTCACAATGATCTATTTTAAATTGTAAATAGAGATGAACAAAAAGAAAAAAAATTATAATTTGCATTCTATTTAATTGGTTAGATTAAAAAATTTGTTTTAACTTGTATTTAATAATAGCAGAAAACAAATTACTTGCATGATTGTTTAATGTTATTTATATTTTTTGTATATATGAAATTAAAATATGTATATACGATAAATGATTAATATCTATTGTACTTGTTTTGTCAAATTTAATTACTATTGATATGTTACTTGATGAATTTTATAAATTTTACTATTATAAATTTATGCGTTTCACAATATAAAGAAAATTTAAATTTAATATTCGAGTTATTATTACTATTTTTTCGTAACTAATATTTAATTTAGCATATACATAAAATTATATTCTACATATGATCATTCTTATATTAGATGTAACTTAAAATAATATTCTGTTAAGTATCTATATATATAAATATGTAAACCGGCATTGTACATAATAACATAATTTATGATATAGTATAGAAATTCTTCATTATATATTATATGATAAAATAAAGTGGAAATACTTACAATTTCAATTATTTTATTATATTATTAATTTTTATGATTGTACAATTCTGTATTTAACAATCCACCTTAATCAATTTCAAGTAAGCAATAATTTTTTATGTATTTACATCATCACAGTTATGTCAAAAAGTGTAAATACATTATATAAATTGTATGTAATATATGTAATATAAACTACATAAACGATATACTTTACAAGATATTATTTATAGAGATATAATTATATAATCACAATCTGTTATAAAACACTTTTTTTAAGAACTTTTTCCCTTTTTTTTATAAACACATTATAAATGTAATTTCACCATTTGATCAGCAAATTCTCTTTCAGTTAACATGTGCCATCTATAGTTCAATATTCTAGATACCTCTTTTTCTGTATTTTCATAACTACGGCTATTTTTTTGAATCCATTGATAATGTTCCGGTGACCAGTTCATAATTTTTAACCAATCCCCATCACATTTTTTTAAAATTGAATATCTTCGGACATATAAACAACGTAAATTCTTTGCTGTAGATACAATTTCTAAAATGGTGGCCGTTGAAATTTTATCTCGAATCATCTGCGGAAACATTTATCGCATATACAAGTCTGATAAATTATGAATTCAAATTACTAAACTTTGCTTATGAATTAGTTATTTGAAAGGAAGTTATTTGATAAATGTATTAGTTGTATGAAAGGATAAAAAATACCAAGGAAACCAATCCGTGGATTATAATATAATTATATTATATTATATTATATAAAGTATCATTCGTTCAAAGACCAGGCTCATTTTCATTATGGGATTAAATGTGTCATGGTAAAATATTTGTCTCCCACTGATTGGCTTCCAAGTCATTGATACAATCATTGATCTGAATTTAAATCTCTTGTCTTATGTACTATTGACAAATCAGTGATATATTGCTACACAACATATGTATATAAATAGATCCATAGAAGCTGTAAAAAATGTTTTTGATATTTTTAATGTATTTTTTAAAATTTGTATTATAATATGTAATTTAGTTAAATAAAACTTACACGAATAGTAATAAATAATTTTGTATAACAAAAATTTGAATGCATGCTATCACACATCATTAAGAGTTTTTGTTAAAATCATAGTGATTTTAAAAAAGTGACAATACACATCAGAAATTCAGTCAAACACAAAGTGATACCAGTGTATGAAGGTTTGGACACATTTTGCAAAATTGTACTAGTGCTTCATCCAATCTTTGAGAAAAATTTCTGGGCACAAAATATCTGCTTAGACCTTTAAACGCATATACCTTTATTGTTGATTCAAAAAATGTTCCATGATTAAGAATAGTTGAAGATGAAATCTGAAATATTTAATGTAATCTATCTTCAAATTATATTTAGCAATATCTTAAATATTTTATTTCACACTAACCTGTGTATTTGGAATATCTAAAACAATACTGTGACATGGAATATTCCCATGTTCTAATAAATCAATGGGCAAAAGTATATCTGTAGACTTATGACTTTCCACTTCAAAGTGAACTTTAATGTGAGGATTATTTCTTTTCATCTTTATCCAAGATTTTCTTGAAGGCTAAATCAATAAAAATTAATTTAATTAAAATATTTAAAATAATATATTTTATACTAAACTTATAGTAACTATTACCAATCTCACTGTAGCATCTTTTGGACTATAACAATTTTGAACAATATGAAGATGTTGCAATTTAGTATATCCAATTAAATCTATTACATCTTCGTGAAGATTTTGAGGACTAATAACTAATACCTTCATATAAAATAAAAATGTCATGTTAAATATTGGATATGAATTTTTTGAAAGTTTTTTATACAATAAAACTTACATTTAAATTAATAAATACTCCTACATGTAAAAGAGGGCAATGATACCTTGTAGTATTAATTAAAATCAATTTTGATAATGTCTGAGTACAATTTGCACAGATATCATCCATTAAATGTAAAGCTTCTTTACTATCTAACATGAGATCTATTAACTCTAAGCATTTCAAATTATGTAAATTACGCATCAACCTTTTCAATGCTTCTAATAATTTTCCTCCAGTACCAAAAATTCTAATGCTATCAGGATCATCTCTGTTTGCCATGTTACAAGGAAATGTAAATTTAAGTCGTCGAATATAAGTACCAACTCCTGCTACTGATGTATTATCTGATCCTTGTCTTTCAGTATACCATGATATCATATTCATAAATTCATAAAGATTATAAAAATTCAACATTGGTTCAAAAATAAGAGATCTAAAATTTCTTCCAACTTTATTTAAACATGTGGAAGTTCTCATATGATCCAGAACATATTGCCAACCACTATGATAATTAAATTTGCCTCTAGTAAGAGTGGTGTCTTCTAATGTAAATGTAGACCATACTTTTGGTAATTTAAAAGCACGATACCATGACCTACATACCAAAGATGCATAATATCTTTCACGAATAGTTAAATAAGAAAAAATTTCTTCTAAAAGTATATCAGGTGTTTGATCCCAACAACTATATATTTTATTTTCTTTCTCTTCTTCAGTATTTTCTTCAATGTCTATATATAATGCTATAAAATTAAATTAATAAACATTTAATATTCTCATTTTTTTCATTAATTTAATATAGATATGTTTTTAATTAATACTGAAGTTATAATGAACTATAATAACGTTTACTTATTTAGAATTTTTATTATTTTGTAATGCCGATTCATTCACCGGAAAATTTTTTTAAAAATTTATATTTCATTAAACATATAATTATACAATTAATGATTTCAAAAATAAATTAAAGAAATCATTATTATAATACAAAATTAATAGTATGATATAATATAATATATTATTATTTATGTTTCATTCTATATCTTTTGACATTTATCATTCAATAACCTATTGCGTTTTAATGCTTACCTCGATCATCTTCGTCAAATTTCCAACAGCCTTTGCTCATTTTCATTATGGGATTATTATCCATATTGTGTCAAGGTAAAAGTTTATTTTTTTCTGACAAGGTACTTTCCATGCAATATTTCTAAAAATATACTAAAATTGGAAGGGGACGTTGACTGAACATCTCCATAATGGAGCTTAAGATAGGATATTGTTAGATTTTATTCACCATTCTGAATGCTATATTTTCGTATCAGTAAAATTTATGATACTATTTGAATCAACCAATCAAATAATATTAGTGACAGTCATAGATTATCAAGAAGATAGAGTTGGTATAATCATTACAAATTAAAACTTCAAATAAATACACTTGCTATAAAGTGTAACAACATTTTAAATATTAGTAACATTGTTATAATGGTTTTGATTAACAATTTATCTATGTTAAAGCAATTATTACAAAATATTAGGCCAGTATTATTATTTTAAATATTAAAAAAATAAAACATTTTTTTATTAAAAAGATAAAAAAATTGAAGAAAAAAAATTTATTTTATTTAATAATATTTAATTATTTATAGATTATTCCATAACTCAAAAATTACAAAAGGATATGAAGGACCTGGTAAGACTACAATGGATATTCTTAATATTCAAAATGATCAAAAAGTTCTAATAAATAAGTGTTTACCGGTATAATAAAATTTTATATTATTTTTATTAAATTAAGATTATTAGATTAATGAAGTTATATATTTTTATTTATTTTTATAGATAGGATTTAAATTGAATGATAATTCATTAATTTTGGGTCCTCTTGCAATTTTTCCTGGAACAATTTTGGCCTGGAATATCAATTCTACAAAGGATATTAATGAAGCTACTTTATCTTTATTTACTATTTTATATCCAACACTAGATCTTTTGATTTTAGGCCTTGAATCTAATTATGAATATAGAAGAATTCTAGAAATAAAAAAAATACTTTTCAAATACCAGATCAAAACTGAGATACTTCCAGTGGAACATGCTTGTGGTATTTATAATTTTTTAATATCTGATGGAAGATATATTGCAGCAGGTTTAATACCTCCATTACCTAAAGAATCTATTTCTCATCAGAAGCCACTTCAAAAATCACTTAAACAATTAACTGAAGAAAAAAATTTAATAGATACTTAAATAAGTTCATAAATTTATATTAATAATAATAATACTGTAATATTTATAGGATCATTTCTGTACATTAACAATATTATATTAAATGTAAAAAAAATTGTATAAAACAATAAAAATAGAAATTAATTATATAAAGTATTTAATTTTTAACAAAGAAAGATAAGGTTATGTTATACTATTATTAATATAACCTTAAAGAAATAGCAATCAAATAATAGCATCAAATAATAACGATCATGTGTAAATGTAATATTATGAAAATACATGAAAATATAATTGTTTAATAATTAAAAAGGTAAAATTTCTATAAAATATATATATAAATTTAATATATAAATAATGTTTTTTATAATTCGAAATTTTATAAATATATTTTTTGTAAACTATTTCACAGATATTAAACAATTTTTACACACCTTGAGTAATCATCAAATTTGATAAGTATAAATATACAAAAATATTCATTATACAAATATTCGTTAAATATTCATTATATTTTAGTGATTATAAAAAAAGGATGAATAATTTAAAAAAAAAAAAGTGATTCAAGAAAATATGATAACCAAAAAAATAAAAACTGAAAAAATAGTTCCAAAAATGAAATTTCTAAATAAAAAAAAATTAACAAAAAAAACAAAGGAAAAATTTAAAAAAAAATTAAACACATTACATGTTAATCAAAAAAGAGAAGAAATGCTAAAAATTAATTCAAAAAAAAATGTTAAACCTATTATATATGATATAAAAAATGCACTTGACAATGTTAATAATTATAACAATACTGAGAATAAATCAAGATTATCTGAATGTGGTTTTTTTTGGGATGAAATACATAATTTAAGTTTCAGTGAAAATAGAAAAGAATCATCCAGTGACAGTGAAGATGAAATAGAGCAAAAATCAAAACAGAAAAGCAAGAAATTAAATACTGTTGAACGTAGAGAACAAGAAAAGCAAAAAGAACGTGAAATTCGTCAAAGGGAAGAAGCATTAGCTAATAATCAATTGCCAAATTCTGTAGATCAGTTTGACAGATTAGTTTTAGCTAGACCTAATAGTTCAATAATTTGGTTGCAATATATGGCATATTATTTACAAACAACAGAAATTGAAAAAGCGAGAGCGGTTGCAAGGAGAGCAGTAAAGACAATTAATTTTAGAGAAGAAAATGAAAAATTAAATGTTTGGAATGCTTGGTTGAATTTAGAATCTAAATTTGGTACTTCTGAATCATTAAATGATGTTTTTCAAGAAGCAGTGAAAAGTAATGATTCGCTAAAGATATATACCCATATGTTGATCGTTCATGTTGAAGCTGGTAGACAGATTGAATTAGAAAAAACAATTAATACTATAATTGGAAAATTTAAACAAATTCCTAAAACGTGGATCGATTGTGGAGAAGCATTATTAAAAATTGGTTTGAAAGATAAATCAAGGCATATCATGCAAAGAGCATTGCAATCTTTACCAGCATCTGAACGTATGTACAAATATATTATTATATAGATAAAAAGTAAAATAAACTAATAATACAATATTAATTTTGCAGATGTAAACTTAATGGTAAGATTTGCAATTATGGAAAATAAATTTGGAGATAAAGAGAGAGCACAAACATTGTTTGAACAAATTTTAAGTTCCTATCCAAAACGAGTTGATATATGGTCTTGCTATGTTGATTCTTTAATTAAATCTAATGATATTGATATAGCAAGGTAATAATACTTTAACTTTATTAATATCAGTTTTAATTTTATTTTAATATATTATCGTGAGATGAAAATATTGCATTTTGTAGGAGAGTACTTGAAAGAACAGTTATTCAAACGCTACCTCCAAGAAAAATGAAAATTTTATTCAAGAAATTTATTAATTTTGAAGAACAATATGGCACTCAAGAGAATGTAAATCATGTTCAACAAATGGCTGCAGAATATGTAGAAAGACAATGTAATAAAGATGTTTGATGATTTGTAAGAATATAAATTATTAATAAAACATTTTGATATTTATTTTTTATCATCAAGTCAGTGAAAATTTAGTTACAAAACTTGTATTCAAGAAAATTTGATTTTAAGGTTAATATTTTTATGAATTTACTTTTTCAAGATCTATTATTATTTTTTTTACTTAAAAATATATTATTATTAAAATTGAAGCCTAAATTATTAATTTATAATAATATAATTATTTAATTAAATATTAATTATTATTAATCAATTACTTTAATCATTCAATCTGTGAAATTAAACATCAAATAAATTCGCGGGTTAATGTAATTGGTGATTCGAATTGTGCCGTGGCAGCACTGGTATCAAAATTCCTCCCTAGCAAACAAAACGGCATTTTCTTCTGCGCTAGCGCAGAATGCGGTAGTCGCGGAAGCGATGACTGTCAACGCGGAAATCGGTAGCCTTGTAATCGCCATATTGTTTGCACACACGTTGTGTTAACGATTCAATAGTGATAATCTCGTGGTGTCGCAAGTGTTTGATAAGCCACGAGAGGGAAGTGTTGAAAGAAAGGTAAATAACTCGAGCCAGAGCTCCGAGGCGGCGAAACTGTCGTTCTGAATCGTGTTAGAGATTTATCCAGTAAGAACCATCGTGACGTGATCGACATAAACCGTGTTGTAAATCGATCGTGTCTCGAAGCTGTCCGAGCGTCATACGATTAATTCCTTAGCTCAGACACATCAAAAGTTTCAAGTATTCGTCACGGTGACGTCACCGACAGTTCTGAGGGATGGCCCGTGCTTACAAGCATCGCGACGCATCGCCTCTCCTCCTCTTTTTATCTCCGTAAAATCGACCAAGAAACGTAAGCTAAATTCTTCGCGTACACGACGACATGATCGAAGAAACACAAAAGTGTTCATAACACTGACATTTCCTAGTGAAATCGTTTACACGTACACTTTGGACGAATTAATCGAGTGAAAATCTACTTATATAGAGGCATCAGGCCGTGAGTATTTTTCATTTTTTAATAAATGATTCATATGTATGAAATACAATTATATATACTGATCGTGGATTTTAACTTTAGAACGTGAGAAATGCCAGACTGTCCAAACGTGTCTTTCTCTTTCTTTTTCTTTTCGTTTTTTTCTCACTTTGTCTTTTTTCCTCATACGTCTATCTCCTTTCTTTTTCTTCTTTTCTGTGACCAGTTTACCATCTCTTTCTCACTTTCTCACATTTTGGTCTCGTGAATACGGGGTTAGGTTACAAATCGAAACAGCTCGATAAAAATATTCAAAGTAGTATCCAAAAATGCTTCTGCGTATTTTCTATGATATCATCTTAAGACAAAATTATTTATAAATTATAAATATTTTCATAAAAAAAATAATAAATAAATAGAAATAACAATAGTTAAGAAAGAATTAATAATTAATAAGTTATTTACATTGAAATATGATAAAATTTTCAAATTATATATAATACTTTGAATTCTATCGAGGAATTTTGAATTTCAATTTTTAAAATTCGATTCATCCGATTATTGAAATGATTTAAAAAATTTAGTTAGAAAAAAAAATTAAATGCGATAAAAAGAAAATATACGATTATAATATTTTTCGTATGTAATTCATCGCTACATAACAGTTTAATTAATGAACTAGTTTCATTAATGAATCTTAACTTGTATTTATTAAATTTATTTCTTTTATTATTTATTATTTTTTTATATTTAATTCATGACAATATATACGAATATCGATATACGAAAAAATCGGAGATTTTGAGGAGAAATGCAAGATGGCGATTTTCATTTCGTATTCCCGTATTTAAATAATAAACAAATGATATTCTTATTTCTTATATTATTTTTCTCTCTCTTTTGTTTTCCTTTTTCTCTCTATATGAAAAACTATAAAGTTTGATCACATGATCGGTTTTTATCGGATGATTCTTTTCTCTTCTACGGAAGAGAACATTTCTTCTGTACTAAATATATATATCGTATTATCTTATGTAATGCAACATGTTCACAGATGCAACGAATAGTATACGATATATATATATATATATATATAGCTATAAACCATAAGAGAATTTTATCGGTTTTATTAATCACGTTATAAATGCAGACGTACGCAAACTAAAAGCATCACCACGTGCGAGTATCTGGTTATATGTCTATTTTAATGTTTCTATATATTTCCTTGATCTCGCGTATATAAATTTTAGAAGAAGTATAATCATATTTAATTCTTAATATTAATTTATTTAATTTTTCTCTTTACATTACAAGATAATTTAAAATAATTCATTATTCTAAAATAATATATTTTGATAATACAATAATAAATTTTGATAATACTTTAATAATACAATAAATTTCTTTAACAATAGAAATCTGTTTTTTTGCCTTTTATTTATTCTTTTCTTATATTTTTAATTAATTTAAATGGGAGGGGGAAAAAAAAGTATTAATATACTGTTATTGTACACTACTTATAAATGCATGACATTATCATCGTAGACGATGATTTGAATGCTAAAAATGCTAAGAGACATGTTTCGCCGCGTTTTCGTTGCGTAAACGTATAATCTGCTCTGCCAGGGATCCACGTGTACTGATTCCCATGATGTAATAGACGTGATCCATTGATCGAATAATGCGAAAACTATTTTACTCTGTCATCTGCGTTTCGAATTAAATCTAAATTATTTAATTATTGTAAATTCTGTATCATAAATATTTAAACATAATTAAAAAATAATAATTTATGAAGTAAAAATATAAATCAATTTTAATTAATCTTGATTATTTTGAAGAAATGTGTTTCTTTTGTAAAAATTTTTAAAAATTTGTAAACGATATTTGAAGATATTGAACATAATTAATAAAATCATATGCTTCGCGAATTTACTAGCGTGTTCGTATCATAAGATTAGTTACATAATTTCCAATTGTGCTTTTTATGTGATTATGTAACTGCGTTATTGACTTTGCGAAACGTAAAAGATGACCCGTATAATATCTTCACTATAATTTTTCCTCGAAATAGTTTACATGCGTAATATATTTTTCTTTTTCATTTTATTTTTGATTTTTTAAAAATTAAAACATGAATTTATGTCATTTAACTATTTAGCGCATATATATATATATTAAAAATATTATAAACATGTTCCATGATTTAATAGGAGGATTTAACAGAAAGTAAATAATTTTACTTGTTATACTTCAAGGAAATTCAAGACGTTTCTCATATTGGTTTTGCGCGTCTGATGTATTCCGGTGAAAACTGGGATACTTGCCAAAACTGAGGGAAAAATGTGACTGCTTTCTTGATGCTAGATATTTGGCAAAGATTTGGATTCTTTTCCTGAACGGTGCACGCGCGATTTTTGTGCCATCATTAATTTCAAAAATAAAATTATAATTAATTCAATGAATTATTATGATAAAAAATCCTATACATTTTAAGTAATTTATTTGAAATATAGGATTTACTTAAGTTGTGATGGTAATGTAGTTTCCTTTTCTTAATTCTTAAACTGTTATGTTGTAATGAGATATACAATTACATCAAATTGCAGCTTGTTTTTTATATAGCAAATATCATTTATTCTTTTAATCATTTAAAAAAAAAATTGCTGACCGTAATCTTGCGATTAAATTTAGAATCATCAGAATTTATTTTCGTTAACTGATTAATTCAATAAATCCATCAATTATTACATATTTGTACGATATGATATAATGGTATTGTTTTATATATTATGTATATTATATATATTTAAATTTCCTGCATACAGTTATTTTAATTTTTTTTTATTCGAATTTTAATATTTTTATTCGAATTTTTTATTCAAAATTTACATAGATGTAATTAATATAGATTTAAAAAAAATCGATTTCAAGAAAAATTAAAGGAAAAGAAATTAACAATATTATATTGCTGTATGATATAAAAATAAAACATTAAATAATTAAAAAATATAATATTTATAATTGTGTTATTTTTATATGACTTTGCACCATGTGCTAATAATTTGTTAGGTTTTTTACAAATTAACTTGGTCAGTGTATAACATAGTTAAAACAATAATATGTGTTCAAAGCAGAACGCGTAGTTAACCTTTCTTCTTCTTCTTTTTTTTTTTTTATTCAGCTCAAGGTCAGTCTGCTTTTTTTAGCACGACCCAGTAACCTCTGGCATTTCTTCATTTTGTATTCTCGTTCTTCTTTGCGGAATTTGACAGTTGGAGTATCGACGGTAATGTTCCTTCTTCTCTTTGTAATTTATTCTACACGAAGACTAAGCGGATCGATATTCGGTTGATCGCATAACGCAATGCGGTTTCCGTTTCCAATATCGCATGAAGATTCGTTATTTTTTTGTGAGCACCAGATAGATTCTTCTATTAAAG